GATTGTATATGATTTTTTTTTTTTTTTTTGCATCCTTTTCCAGAGAGCATGTTTCCCCTTTCTGGTTTATTTAGTGTTGCTTTTGTGGTTGGAATACAGAAGTGTCCTTAGGATATGAGTAATGTCAGGGCTGTGTTCTAAGTTTTCTGTATCAATAAATCTTCAGCTCATTAGTCATGAAAGTGGAAGTGAGGGGAGGTTTACTTATTTGCTGTCTTGGTGACTATCTCAGTAATGTTCATTCTGTGGGGAAACAGGCTGCTGGGATTTATGATAAGGTTGTTCCCATCTTGGGAACAATGTCTGAGTTTTACGACTCAACTTGTCCCCAGATTCATTTTTATAATGTTGAGATTGTGGTCTTGCTGAAGTGAAAAATGGGAAATGTAAAGTTTCAGTTTATCTGCAAACTTGTATTTCCAAAAGTTACTGTGCAAGAGTTGGAATTAAAGAAATTTTCCAAATTCTGGGTACTTTGCAGTGTCATTCTTCATTTACCAAGTCAGGTGAAATTACTCATTTAGTTTTTCCATAATTGCCTAGTGCTTTCTGTTCAGAACTTACTAAATGCATTTTCTCTGTCCAGAATAAATGCTCCAGTTTTTTAGAGTTCCAGATTCTTCTGTGTTCTATTTTTCTCATTTACATTGCTTGTTAGCTGGCAGGTCTCCACTTGCTTTGGTTATCTTTATCACATGACATTTATTTTCACTATATTCTGACTGTAATAATGACTTGTCTTACATAAACTTCTCCTTTGGAAAAAAAAAAAATTAAAACATGAATGATTTAAATCTGTCTCCCTCTTGCTGCCGAATATAGGGTCTGAATTGTTGACAACCAGTTGAGGCTGATGTTGATTAAAAAACAAGAAACTCCAACCTAAGTAGCTGGCAGGAAGAACACATTTTTGAAACGGGCTGCTGTTGTACTCCCAGTTTTGGTGGAGTCAAAGGGATTTATGAGGAGCATTATTTCACTTTCAATTCTGCGTACTGTGTGCAAAACTGGGGAAACCAATGCAATTTGATTCTGTTAACAAACTCTGATGCCTGGCAAGTTCAGAGGTACTTCATGATAGAGATAACTTGGCAAGGAGAAACAGAAACATAGCTGCTAGGTATATGCCATTATAGATGGTCTTTATTTCTAGCTATTTTTCTTCGCTTTTTTTTTTTTTTCTTTTTATTTTGCTTACATATATCAGGGCTTGGAAACTTCACATTGCCAGGTTAAATTATTCAGCATATTGCTTGCTTCAGGTCAGATTGCTTTGTACTCTGTGCCTTACAATTGCCTCTGTTGTTTTTTCTTACACCGAATAGCCACAATTTTTCCTTCCTACCACCTCAGAATCTGGTTTTAAATAACCCATATTTGCCAAACAATAATTCTAAGCATTGATACAATGATTTGAAAGTGATCTATATGCTACAGCCACAAAGTTGTTCGCAACTACTTGCATAAAAATGACAAATCTGAGACATAACAATTCATGCACAGTGTGAATTTCCTTTCTCATTCCTTCCCTTTTCCCCCTTCTCATCATAATATCCTGGGATCAGTAAGCAGGCAGCCCAATTCCTTACAGTAAATAGCTGAGGAGGGCCCTACGTGGACCCAGCTGATCTTTGTTAGACCAAATTGCCTACATAGTTTATTCCAGTGGAAAAACTGAGTGGAGGTGTAATTCAATATATTACAATAGCTTCCTTCTAACCTAATATATGTACAAATAAAAGGACAAGTTTTAGGCAGTGTTCACTTGAAGTGCTTTAAAAGAAGCAGAGTAAAACAAAACAGGCTGATTGAAGTGCAGGAAGAATTTTGTTTATGTTGTTTGTAACAGAAAGCGAAGACTGATGTCAATGGCAGTTTAACCAAGAGAGACAAATGAGCATTATGGGCTTTTTTTAGTGCTTTTTTGTTTGTGTGTTTATTTGTTTAATATTTCTTTAATCATCTTTTACTAAGCAGTTAAATGAGAGCAGAACAACACGTTCAAGTTAATTCTCATTTATTCACATTTTATTAAACCTTCTTCTTTCAAATATTTTTACAAATAAAAACCCCACAACTCCTCTATCCAAAAAATCACCACAAATTTCTCCTCATTCCTTGACAGTGATTTATGACCACAGTGGTCTGGTGTAATCAAAGTTACTTAAACATTATTGCTTTTAAAAAATATTCTACAGAATTTACAAGTTATGAATAATACCATACATAATTAAAGCTTCATTTGGGCTGACAAGTGAATCAATGAAGTGCATTTTGTGATGCATTACCCCATCTTTGTTTGCAGGTTTTGGTTGTGTTCTTTCATTTTTGTTGTTTTATTATGATTTCTCACAATTTCTCAAGTCTTTTGTTTCTCCTACTTCCTCAGTTATTCAACATTTTGAACATATTCACAAATTCACAATGGTACTCTCAGGCTTTATTGCCAGTGATTGTGATTCCATTGCATTTTATGATTAAATGTTCTGCCACTTACATTCTTATAACAAACTTCAGAAGGATGTGTATTCATTTTGTTATTCATTTCCTAAATTTATCCATAACAAATTCTGAATTCTTGAGAAGTGGGATGGCAACAAGCTGACATTTTAGCGTGATGGTAGAGTTGCAACAGAATCCAAGCAAACAAGTTAATTACTGTGCAATTAGCCCTGGGAGAAGCAGGTTCTTCAGAGCACTTTCAGTGTTTCAGAAAACATCTTGATCTCAGATATTACATTAGGCATATATTGCTGCTCCTCTGTTGTGCAGATGTAATGATGCTTTCTTGGTTGAGCTTGTGTTTGATTTTAATTTTATAATTCTTGTGTTATCCAGACAATTGATTCTGTGAGTGAACTGAAGTGAAGAAGTCTGGTTTGCTGTGCCCTTGTATGTGTTGTTTAGAGTTTTTGGTATCCATCAACTTGTGAAATATTTATAGAATCAGTGTACTCATATTTCTGTATTTTGGATTCTCTGCTGTCTAGTTGGCAAATTTTCCTTAAACCCATTTATCTACTCCTTCAATGGAATTCTTAGAAACTTAATATCTTTGTGCCACTCCATCAGATATGATTGCAATCTGCCAACAAAAAGTTTAGAAAGTCAGGAGTTGGGGATGTGTGTACGAAAGGATGGAAGGAAAAGCTGAAAAGATACGTCAAGAGGGCATGAGAACTAAAGATAAAGGACACAGAAGTATGGATTAATGCCTTCTTCAGCTTACTGTACTGGTAAGACCGTTCCTCAGGAATCTCTGTGTTCTGAGAGTAGAGGGAAAGTCTGCAGCAAGGAAGTTTCTTGATGACAGAGCATCAGGCCGAGGGACATTTATACCAAATGAACATACCTTCATCCTTGGAAACATCCAGAGTCAAGCTGAAGGAGGCTCTGGTCAGCCAGACTGAGCTGTAGATGTCCCTGTTCTCTGCAGGGGAGTTGGACTAGAAGGTCATTAAGGGTCCATTCCAACTCAAACAATTATATGATTCTGTGATTAAGCCCATGAGACCCGATTGGATGAACCAAAAGCTTTGGAGTTTTCCAATGTCATTGTGAGACCACTCTTGATCATATTTGAAGAATAGCAATCAGAGGATGTTCCCAAAGACTGGAAGAAAGCAAATGTAACTAACTAACGTGATAGCTTTTTACCATGAGATGGCTGTCACAATGGGTGAGTGTGAAGCAGTGCATATTTATTATCTTGACTTCAGATCCTTGCTGTTGAATATTAGGTGGTTGTGCTGAAATCACAACCTTGATAGGCTGGGGAAAGGTTCAGTGGAAGAAACCTCATGAGATACAGTAACTGGAAGTGACAAGTCCTGCCCCTGGGGAGAAATAATTCCAGGCACCACCATTACAGGCTGGGGACTGGCTGTCTATATGGAAAGCTTGCAGAGAAGAGGTATTTTCTTCAGAAGTCTCTTCGAACCAGGCTCCGAGCGACCTAATCTAGTTGTAGATGTCCCTGTTCATTGCAGGGGAATTGGTCTGGATGACCTTTAGAAGTCCCTTTCAACTCAAATGATTCTATGATTTTGTGATTCTGTCGTAAGTGCAAATGGGCAGCAAGCTGAAATTGAGCCATCAGTGCACCATTGCAGGAAAGAAGGCCAGCAGCATTCTGGGCTTCTTTGTTGCCTTACTGGTAGCGCATTTAGCAGTGTCTGCATTATTATGTCTGTTATTGCTAGGTTAATTGTTTTTATAAAAGGCAGTGACATAAAAAGTCAACATATGCTCACATTTGCTGTTGTATATGGTAACTGTTCAGATAATAGGGAAACAAAGTCTCTGGAGATTGCTGTCTTAGAACTAGGAAAATTTCTGTTTAATCTATTAATTTTACTTTTGGTACATTTAGAAATATAAATTAATCCATTCATCAAGCACAGCCTGATTGATGGATTGATTTCTTGATGGTCTACCAATAAAGAGATTCAAATTCAGTGATTTTTTGATTGGAGCAGCATCAATTTACAAATAATTTTTTTACCAGATGAATGCCATTCTAAAAATGGGCTTCTCCAATGTAAGGATCTGCACTTTAGGATGAATAGTTTGCACCAAATGTATCTTCTTTTTTTTTTTTTTTTTTTTGAAGGTAGGTTTTTTTTTTGAGGTAGGTTTGCAGCAGTTGTTTTTATTGTTGCTTTTTTCCTCTTAGGATTCTGCAGTTCTGAAAAGCAACCGTAAAATCATATCATTTTACCTGTTTCTTATAGAAAACTCAACTCAACTGGCTTACTTAGATCCAATAAACCATGCCATTGTTTAAAGGGGTTTTTGATTTACCATGGGTGTATGGAGCACTTGATCTTTTTCTTTTAATTCTACATAGATTTTTTTTTTCTTATTCTTTCTCTTCTTTATTTTATTTTTCCTATTTTTTTTTCTCCTTTTTCTTCCTACTTTTTTTTTTTCTTTTTTTTTTTTTTCTTGTTACAAAGCTTGGTTACAAAACATGTCTTTTATGTTTTCTATCTTTTCAGAGTGACATGCTGGATGTGAACCAGATCATTAAAGACCTGGCCTCCATGGTGCATGAGCAAGGAGACACAATAGGTAGGTATCACTGCTGAAGTATGTTTTGTTGTGCTCCTAGGCCATTCCAGTGTGTTGCTGTGTGTTCTCTCAGAAGAAACTGCATTTAATAGTGATGCTGCAATTAATTTTCCTGTGTTTTGTGCCCTTAGTGATGTTTTGATTGACAAACTGCTCTATGCAACAGCGTTCTTACATTTGGATTAGTTAGATATATTTAGCATAAAAAAAGATTCTGAGGTGAGAAAAATTTGTTCAATTTTGACTACAACAAAGAAGCTGAAGAATATGTAGCATTAACTATAAAAGGATTCTTTTTTTTTTTTTATTCCTACCTGGAGTTCTAGTTAAAAAGCAACAACACCAGTAGTAGTTACTGTCATTATCGTAGGGTGGCAAAAAAATATATATAAAAATAATTAAACAGCTTGCTTCCCCTAAATGGAAATTTCTCTCCACATTAAGAAAGTGTTTGACTAAATCTATAGTATTCAACCATTATGACATACATGCACACATAGTCTTGAACCTTCTGCCCACTAGTTGACCTCTTTTTATTCTATAGCAGCCAGTGGCTAAGAACATTGTGGAGGATTCTTGGGAATGGAGGAGATGAGAGAAACTGTTAGACATGGAACAGATTACCCAGAGAAGTGGTAGATGCACCGTGCTTGGATACACTCAAGGTCAAGATGGACAGGGCTCTGAGCACCCTGATGTAGCTGTAGGTGTCCCTGTTCATTGCAGGGGACTTGGATCAGACGACCTTTAAGGGTCCCTTCCAACTCAACGATTCTATGATTATTTTCAACAGCAGCCAACCAGTGACCATCATCTTTTTTTTTTTAATAGAGTATAGTAGAATAAAACACAGTGATCTGTTCCTTTTAAACTTCTTGAACTTTTCTCTTTGTTACTGATGTGTTCTGATGCAGCTAAAAGCAATCAGATATTTTTTTCTTCTTTCTTTTTTTATTTTTTTGGTGGGTTTTTGTGTACGACAATACTATGAAGCACTTCTGAAGCAGTTTCCAGTTCCAAATTTGTGAGCTAACAGTCCTGAAGCCATGATGAGGGTCTTAAACATCAGAGAAGTGAGGTTTGGGAAGATATTACTAACCTGCATTGCTCACTTGGAGTACTTACAGAGCTCATGGGAGCTAGATCAAGTCCTAAGGCAGCCACATGTAAATTATAAAAGAAGAAAATCTTCTCTGTTGTTTATTAATCTATCTGAATTGTTTTGCCATGCTCAAACCTATGCAAATTTCTATTAGCATCACATATCTCCTTTCACACTGAAATGAGCTTGCTGCATCCCACTGAGAAACACCACTCAGGTTTGCAAGTGCAGAACAAAATCAAGATAATATCTACCAATTCTTTCTTGTTTTGATTTTTTTTTTTCTTTTTTGTTTTTCTTTTTTTTGGGGGGGCAGCTTATTTTTTATACATGTACAACTTCAGAGCCTGATTCGTCTCCAGAATGTACATCAGATGTTAATGCCTTGAGGGACATGAGAGCATACATCAGTTAGCTTCAAGATCCTTGTAACCAATTTTCTTAAGGCAACGTTTATTATTTTAGAATGTTGTTCATGCACAGAAGTGACCTAGTATTAACTAGCCTGTGAGAAAATTGTATTAAATAGTGTGTTTGGGTTTTACACTATCAGAAGTGTTTTTTCTTCCATTTCACTGCAGCATAATTTTTTTTGTAGCTTCCTCAGAAGCATCTTCTCACTCTGGCAACTATTCAAAGTATCTTCCCAACCAGTTGCTGAAAGATCCCATTGTATATCTTTTGACATTCATATTACATAGACATAAGTGAGATTAAGAGTCAGTTGTTGAAGAGAATTGAAACTCCCACAGTGAAAATACAGCAGAAATGATGATAAGGGACAGTTCTCTTGACACTTGTTTATTGCATCCCTCTTACATGCATGAAATGAAATCTCTGTGTGTGTTAATTTAGAAGACACAAGAAAACTATATATCCAGGGAATCTGAGGTGCATCATTCAGCAAAAAATAAAATCCCACCAGGGCTGTAGAACGAACAACTTTTGTTCACCCTGAGCTGGGGAGAATTAATGGGAAGAACTTGTCTGAGCCATGCATAGCACAGGAAGAGTAACCCAGATTTCTTAGAAAAACCTTAAAGGAAGTTTTGCTACTCTGTGGGCCATTTCCTTAATGAGAACATCCATAACACTCCGTAGAGTAGAGAACAATTTCTGTCAGGCAGGGAGGAAATAGATGAGGGGAAATGCAGAGATGGGGCAGTGCTTCTCTGTTTTTTTTTTGTCTTCTGCAGAAGTGTACATTCCAAGTTGTGGCATCTCTTTGATAGGAATATTTAACTAAGCATTATGGTATCAGTGAGCCCAAAGCTCAAAGCCAAAACAAGCTGGTTATGTTGGTTACCTTGGAATTTGCAGAGTATTTTCAACACAGATTTAGAGGAGCTCTTGGCAAAAGCATCTCTGTGAAACCTTATTGCAAATACAGGTAATGGGATTTCTCCTTCTCCCATAAGCAGATCCCATCTCATGCACTTTCTATCCCAATCTCAATCCAGTTTTCTTCCCGAAGTTCCTTTCTGTCTGTGTCAAGTTTCTCCATTGCATAACAGACCGAAAGTCTCTACAGTAATTTCCATTGAAATAATCAAGCTGAATGAAGTTTGTGTTATGCTATGCTTAACTGTCGTCGAAACAGGTCCTTCAGAAAAAGCATCCAAGCTACGAATTAAGCACTTTGCTCTTGGAGAAGTAAATTATATCGGGGATGATTGCTAGTGCTACGAGTCGCTCCCTTTCAGGCTCACAGATAGCTACTCAACTGAATGAAGTACAAGTCCACAACAGCAGGAACGTTCCCAGTGTTTTATACCGAAAGTCATTATTTTACAACTGCAGGCTTGTCTTTCCATTGGCCATACTGGCATAAATAGGCGTAGTTTCATGAAGTCAAATTTATTATTGGTGTGAGGGAAAAGAAAATCCTAAAATCCTCATGTCATCTGAAGGATGCGTTAATAACACAGTTATCAGTATTTCTGTTACTGCTGATGAAGACAGATGTGTACTTATCTACCTCTGTAGGCTTCTGTTTGCACTGTTACAGAAAATAAGGATGACCTGAATAATACAGTCATTGCATTCTGTTTGCCAGTAGCAAAAGAAAATGCTTTTCTTTTTTTCATATAGGAGAACTTTTTTCTCTTCTACCTGTGTATGTAACCTCACTAGTTATGGCAAAATAAGGAGCAAAATCTACATTCGTCATCTAAATTGTCTCAATTCAGCTTTCCCTGTTTGCGTCTTTGTCGCTTTTCACAAAGCCACAAAGCCAAAAAGCATCCATGTTGTTTTGAAAATGCTACATGTTTAGGATATTTGATACTTGTAAAACGTCATATTTCTTCTGATGTTGGAAAAATTTGGAACCAACCTTAGGACAGTTTATCTGTAACCTTCCCCCTCCAATGAAATATCAAAAGACTGGCCAGTTAATTTTAAGATCACAGCAGCAGGACGTGGGAATTAGTCTTCTAATTCTTTGTTCATACATACAATCTTAGAATGGAATCATAGGATGGCTTGTGTTGGAAGGGATCTCAAAGATCACCTACTTCCAAGTCCCAGCCATTGTCAGGGCTGCCTACCACTTACTCAGGCAAGGTGGGTACAAATTAATATTTTCAAAGTGAATCTCATTGTCTGGAAGAAGATCCTACTGCATCATGGAAAATACTTTCTCTGACTTCCTTTTCTTTCATTTCTTTTCTTACTCAGGGTCAGATCTTCATGCAACTAAGATTTCATATCTTTCACTCTTGAAATCTGCGTAGTACATATTTGAAAATCATGAAGTTAAGAACCTTCATAGCATTATTTAAAGTGCATGCTCTCTCACTTCACAGGCGTTGTTACTTGGTATCTTCCAGGCTAGAACCCACAGACCTGCCAAGATAAATATAAACATGGCAGCTGGTGCTTTCCTTCAGTCTAAGAAGAAATTTATGATGGGGTCAATATATTCAGTCCTTGAGTTATGCTGGTGTTTGCTTACATAACACATTGTCTGTTATTGCCTGATGATAATAAGCCTCTTTCAAAGAAAGAGTATTTGCATGAGTGCAAACGTGATACTTATTTTGGAAGCTTTCGAATAGTAATGGTTTTTTTTTCCCCTTTCTTTCTACAAAGTCAGCTCAGTTCTGTTGCCTGTTTTATCGTTATTGCTTTTCTGACCTGAAGGCTAGTTTAACATGTAGACACTGTCAAGAGTCAAAAGGCTTTGCACACGTGTTCTCCAGGTTGACTGCCTGAACAGCATGACAAAGAGTCTGTTGTCATACGCAATAATGCAAGCCAAGCAGGGAAATCATCCAACTGGATCCTTAACTAAACTCTCCAGAGTTATGTGTCTCTGCTGGGACATCTGCAGAAAATGAACACATCTTGAGAGTGGTCCCTGAATACCTGAATGTAACAGCTCTAACATCTGCGTTTAGCTGAATGTGGTCTGTGAAGTCCCTCATTTGGTTAAGTTTTCTAAGTGATCTCTGAGACACTATTGTGTGAATGGAAACATTGATGTTCTTATTGGCTCCTGATTAATTGGGAAATCTCCCAGCCATCTTGCTTTCAGCCATTTGTGGCAACATGAAGTTACACATCAATGCAGAGCACAGCCCATGCAGGGAGTATATACAGGAAGGAATTTTGGAATCAGTGATTTTTCGCATACTAAGCACTTCCCATTTCTTCAAACAAAACTCCGTTTTCCTTCTACAAACTATGTGTATATTCTGTTATCAGTTTAATGTAAACTTGTTACTTGTAAATGTAGTTCTTGTAAACTATTCCAACTGCTGAAATTGCATACCACTACTACTCTTAATTGTATTGTGGACAAGAATTTCAAGGGCACAGTGGTTTGAATACCACTGCTCTCACTTTCCACAAGTCCCTGGATCTGGACATCACTGAAGGGCCTGTAAGTTTATAG